GCTTACAACTCGTTCCGTCGATGTGAACCGAGGATGACGCGCCGGCGCTGTATAGTAGAGATGCTGCCAATTGGAGTGCGCTCACGAAATCAATACTCTCCAAACATGATTACAGCGAAATCCCGAACTCTCTCTCTCTCTCGCTCTCCCTCTTTTCTCTGCTGCTCTCCCTCCTCTCTCCTGCGCCTCAGTTAGGCTACTAACGAAGGGGGCAAAAACCCAAAATTCTTAATAAAAACTCCGCATAATGATCTTTGTGGCGGAGCGTCACATGGCGCTTTGTGTGCCAGCCTCCGTGTCCAGCCCTAATAAAACAAGACAATGTGTAACACAGAGAAAGGGAAAATTCCTGCACAATTGCGACACGGGTTTTTCTCTTTAAAAAAAAAAAGTCTGAGCGTAACAAATTGTCGCGTGCACGGTGTGCAACGTCCAAATGCCCTTCAGGGAGAATATACGGCGCCCGGCTCCGCTGATTATTTGCGGGCAATACCTCAGTGAGTGTAATTTTCTATGCCGATTAGACAGATTTAGTTCAGATTAACCGAGATTAGTTAACCCTAGATTTTAATCCGGAGGGGGGGGGGGTGCTTCAGATGCCAGAATGAAAGAAATATATATATCTCCTCCATACTTCACATAAATGAGGGTAAACAAAAGACTTACATATTGTCATTTCTAAACGCATTTGCCTCAAAGACACTCTGCCCGGCGCATTGAGCTCCGGTCAGACCCGTGTGCGCAATTCTTTAGCTTCACTGACCGAGGGGTCGATGCGTTGGGGTCTCCGATCCTTTATCCTACCACCTTCTTCTAAGAGCTGACGGCTGGGCGGGGACAGAGTCACAGGTGCTTGAATCCGATTGGCCATCTCCCCTTATAAACACTAGGCTACCTGACCCTTTTACCTGTATCAATCTAAGAAAGATTTGTGGAACTTACATGTTTACAGAAACACTGCCTGACAGCTTTAGGCGGACTCACGCATGCAGTGGTGATGTTGTTGTAGGGAGAGTATTACTTATTCACTTCTTCATACCTTAAAACAGTCCTGCTTCTGTAGATTCTCACTTCCAGTAAAGAATTAAAGAATGAATAAATAAAAACTAATATTATTTAGAAGTGAGGCAGCCACTCCAAGCAAGCATTTTAACAGCTATAACCTGTGGGGGCTTTTTGCTGTCAACCCATTGCCATCAAAATATTTAAAAGAGGGAAAATGCATTTCACTACAATTATACATCATCTACAGACCCTTAGACGTGTGTATTCTAGTCACTACACTTTAGTTAAAATAAACATTTTCAATGACACATCCATCATCAAAACAGCCCCTGTGCAGAAAGGTGTCTCAAACTGTCTGAGGACTCCACCTTTTTCCTGCGTTCAACTGTGGACAGAAGCAGTACTTAAAAGTTGCACAACAAGGCCACACTGTGCACTCAGACATGAGTGATGTTGAGAAATATGCGTCAAAAATAGCACGCTTTTAAATGTGGGAGGATGTGTCATATGGTGTGTCACGGAATGACTTAACGTTCAGCATCAGTACAATCACATGGTTAAAATGCCATGTTGCTAATAGTTTGTGTGTAATAAGCCTAGAAACCCTATTCTGACTACAAATATAATTAATGGGTGATGGTTTATTGTATTTTGATTATTGCATGCCAAGAATTTCAATCAAACCAGAGGTGGAGCGAGTCAAGCCTCTCGTAGCCTCTAGTCTCCGAGACAAGGTTCTACTTGAGATGCTTCCCCTGGAACACTTATGAATGCCACAATTTTGGTGACACTCGAGAATACACAATGTGTCTTGATTACAAAATGAAGCGAAAGAAAAGTAATTGTGACTATCAAAAAAAAGGCAAACGATCAGATCCAGAGACCCACAGCAGGAGTGAGTCTCAAGAGAAAAAGGGAAAAGCAAAGAACTAAGAGTCAAAGACAAAGGCTCTGGCAGCACAAGTTTAAAAACTACAACTTCAGTCCCTGCAGGCTGATGGCTAAGTTGTCCCCATACCAGACATACCAGAGGCAGCAAGGCTGGCTTAAAGCACTGAATGGCTGATCCTAGAACAGCGTGTTCTGCACAGCAATAATCACCTCAGTCAGCCACAAGCAAGGCAGAGCACCACATGAACAACAAGTCAGAGCTTTGTGCCTGTTATTTTGCATGGTTAGAAACTGTTCTGGAATTTCTTTCAAATAAGGAAAGGGACACTTCCCCCCCAACTATTTCTATAATACCTTTACGGATTTCTTTGGCCCTGGCATTTTAGCCATCACTCACAACCTTGTGGTGTTGTGCAATTTATCCCTGCACCCCATTCTGCCCAGCACGGTTGGAAGTAGAGGAATCTAGAGAAGCCACAAGAACACCCTAGGGAGATCTATGTCTGTCTGGGAAAGCACCTCCTTTGGTTCTCCCTCCCCTCTCAGCAAATAACCCACACTCTCTAACAAGCATATGGGTTCCCAATGACACAGGAAGGAGAAGGCTCATATCCAAGTATTGGGAACATTTCTGAGTAGGCGACGCTGGATTTCACCCCTTCTTGGCTTTGACCCAAAGTAGGCTGACTTGAAGACTTCCTGCCCCGAGCCAGTGCCAGATTTCTGTGGCATCTTGGCATCTTCACTGCCAACTATGAACAGAGGCAGCGAAGACAATTGGTGCCAAGAGTTTTAATTAAGACTGTGTTGTAAAGAGGAAAGTAAAGGCATGTGCAGGTAATGGCTTCCATCCCTGTTTCAGAGGGCTAACAGAATATGATTAACTAATACAATCTTAGCCTTAGCCAATTAATTATATTTAACCGTTAAAAACAGAGAACGACCAAATGGTCCAGAGAGGGAAATCAGCATGCACCGCTCTCATGCTCAAAGCTGAAGAGAGTGTAATTGTGTTATAATACACTGATGCCAAAGATTATTAAAGGCTATGTTTTCAGACAAAATGCACATGCACAACTAGAAGAATAAATTACCTTTTTCAGTTAGTGTCCACAGTAGAGTCAGTCATTTTAGGTGGTGGATCAATTACCACTTTGAAAATTAAATACTGTCAAACTTTGGTCTGTTGGTTAGAAACAAATAAGCAATAATGGCAAAACATTGTTCTTTGAAGAACTTCAATGAGACTTGTACTTTGTTTTCTTTTGGTTATTCTCTTCTGACATTTTACAGACTGGATGATCCATTAAAAGAAAACTGATATTCCTGGAGCTGGGAGTAAGCGATGAAAAAGAATATACCCTTCTCTGCGTCGTCAAATTGAAAAATTAATCGATGATGAAAGTATTTCAGGCTTCAGGCATTATGAAATAGTATTAACAACCCAACAATGAAAGTGAATAAGATTAATAATCATTCGAGTACTGCAACCTTAACCATATCACGTTCTGAAAGGGTGTCGCTCTGGTCTCAGTTTCTTGAAATAAACCACAGAACGGATCATATTGCCTCCAGCAATGAGTTAAATCTCTTACTTGTGCAAGTCAGTGGCTGGCTACATCCACAATAGCCAAGTAGGCTTGATGCCAAGACACTGATTAGCCTAACTATGCCTCTGTTCTCCAGGCAATGCAGTGCTGAGTGGAGGTGCAGTGGGAGTCTAGCTCATCACCAAAGAGCACTGTGCTAAACACAAGTTTAAGTGGAAGAAAGCCAGTAGACTGTAGTGTATCCATGCTGGACATATAAAGCCTTGGGCAAGGAGGCATCTGCCTCTTTAATACATAATTCACTCAGAGCTGAAACATCATGCTTTAGTCCTAAGGGCCGGCAGTCTGCTTCTGGTTGTTGGAACATAAAACTGTCTCCATCAGATAATCCAGTCTCACTGACAGGCAACTCCTGTGTACCAAGTAGCAGTTCAATTTAACCTTAACTTCAAAACAAGATTAGAAAAGTACACATTTTTAACATATTAGTAAATGTTCAAAGTTCATTTTGTGTTGTTTTTCAACTTGCACCAAATGCATGTGGAAGCACTGCCATCTCACCTTTCCACCTCAGTGAGTTTGTCCTCATCAGCCATGATACGCAGGTAGGTCAACATGTAGAGACAGCCATCTGCCCTGGAGCTCTCCCCCTCAGACATGCACGCGGTCACTTTACATCTCAATCTCTGCAAATGCATCTTCCTGTAGGGGTATTATTAGAAGCACTCATGCCTTATTACCAACATTATTATCATAACTGACAGGATGTGCATTAGTTACTTTGGTCTCTGCAGTTAGATCGGGCCATAATGTTGACACACTACTGCATGGGCCTTTCTGGATTTTGATATTAACAGTGGAGAACCTGAAGCAGATGCAGTGCTTTCATGTGTAATAGTCCCAGCTCATGTTCCCATGAAAGAGCCACTAATGGGTTAACAGTAGAAATGAGAGGGGAAAGAGAGGGAAAATCAATGCTTTTGTTGAGGGGAAGAAAGGAAGGCTTTCACAGGTCTATGTATCATTAAGCAATTGAGAAAGCTAATTAGAGTGGGGGGGAAAGATGTGCAGATCTCACAGCTAATTATTTCCATGGCAACCACAGCTCATGTAGATGATGTGAGGTAGCATCCAATTTGCTTCAATCAGGATATTTACAAGAAGAGAAACAGAGACCCCTAGTGGGATGAAGTGAACATATCCATGAAAGCTGAGTGTTGAAAAGAAACTTTAAATGTAAAAAGGATTCAAATAAACTGAAAAATACCCAAAATCATACATCTCAAATTCTGTTTTGAAATGTTGATACATGGAAACTATTATCTAGTTTGTTATCATTTGCAAAAATAAACAACTAATATCATTTTTCGGCTTTCCAGGAATTGTGTTGATTGTTAGCACAGGTATAAGCTTGCCTACAGCCCAACTTATAGAACCATGATTTGGTAAAAGTTAGTAGAATGCAGTGATGTTTGACAGTATTAGCTGAAATGTTCTCTATCTCATTAAAAATTGACCAAACAGTAACTGTTAAACCAAGACTATATATAGACTCTTTTTTTATTTTATTAAAAAACAAACAAACAAAAAGAACATACAATGGTTATGCACATTAGTTCTTTGATGAAGTGACAGGTGTTTTTAAAAGTGGGGCTTTATAGTTGATAATGAGGACGTTACATATTAGGCGTCTATGTCTCTTTTCCCTGCTCTTTGTGTCATACCTGCAGGTCAGTGTCTCTTTGAAGCACACAGTAAAGCAGCCACAGAGGACAGGATGAATCTTTGCTTCCATTCACACAAAATCTGGAAATTCCAGAACTTCAGACATGGCTTTTCCTTCATAAAAGTGTGACCATGTTTAATTTTGCTTTAGAACATAAGCGTTGTGAGACAATACAAAAAGAAAATATTTTATTCCTCTAACTCACCACTTTGTTTAGTCCCTCCACCCCCCTTCATTCAAAAACTATCCCACTTGAAAACAACCTCCCTCTCTATAACATCAGCTATAGCTCAGGCAGTTAACTAAAATAGTGCAAGGAGGCTGCCAATCAGTTCTGTTCAATGCTGCAAGCCCCAACACCAATGTTACTGAATTTTCAAAATATACTGCCCTGAGAAGGAACTTTTTTGAGAGTGAAATAATTCCCTCAGAAGTTGACTTAGACCTGGTTCCTCTGGTGGAAACTCATGGAGTCCCTCCCAAGGTTCCCAGTCACCCGGGGAAAGTTCCTTTTTGTGGAAAACTGGCTAATGTCTCTGTTTGCTAGGGTCAATCTTTTCCAAGTGAACCAGGGGTTTGAGTTGTTCAGCAAAGCTGCGCATGTCCTCTGACACAGTGTCTTGTCCTGCAGGAGCCAACACACTCAGCTCCACCAGGTATGAAAGTGATAGATGCTCAGTGTTTTCTGTATTCCCTGGTACAAGTATGCGTGACAGCTTACTGACCACAATTTTCATTGCACCTTTACGAAATATGTGTCCATTGCTGACAAACTCATGGTCCATGCGGAAGCCCATCTCATTGAGGAATTCTGGAAGGCTGTGAGTGGCAGCAACATCAACACAGTTGCGTACCAAAGCGTGGCGACTCTTGTCTCCCACTTCAGATTGGCCAAGGTAGCGTAGGTGCCATGGAGCAGTTGGGTGGGAGAGGGAACGGCGGGCACGCAAAATGAAGGGATTTCCTTGCTGGCCTTTGAGAAGGTAAACCAACTCATGATCAGTAAACGTCTCAGGTTCCATGTTGTCGCACAGACCTCGAAGGCGATGCAAGAGGCTTTCCAGGGCCTGGTCCAACACACTCCCTGATTAAATAAAGTGCACAAGGAACAAATACAAAAAAATGACATTTGATTTGATGGCCAGGACTCTATACATATTATATTTATAAATATAGTCTCCACTATCTCAGATCGTCCATAGTTTGTACATATATAATGTTTGCTTTGACATTTTTGCTTCATATATCAAATACCTCAAAGATTTTCCTTTAAAACAAACAAAATACACATCCACCCACTTTCAGGGCACATGCAGTAATATTTTAAACCTAGTAAATTATAAGACAGTTCAGTAGGTCATGAAATACTCATTTTGATTTATTAAACTTATCTCAATAAATCAAAATCTTTTTATCAGAATACCATCTGAAACCTCCAGAATTTAGAATTTTGGTCTATTTGGGTTAAACTATGCATGTATTTTTCATTTTTGTGGTACAACTTCACATTTGCTCAATCCAGCATGAAATTTAAACCCCCCAAAAAGATTTGTTTTCATTTTTATAACTAAGAAATAATTTTCTATTTTGCATTATTGTGAAATTCAATTGTATACCATTAAAAATTGGTGTGCGTTTAAATATGAGACAGATTGGATCTGCAGATCTGGATATGGAAATCATATGCATTTAACTGTATTATCTTTAACAGATATTTGTGTTCAAACATCTGGTATGTATGACAAAAAAAATGCTGGAAGAGGTTCAATGGTCCATATTTCAAAGAAAATATATCTTAAAAAGTATTTGATAAAACTTCACAGCAATCATACATGACAAAACTTTGGACCATACATTTTTTAGGCAAAACTGCGATTGTCCAGGAGAAGGCCCACAGTATTCTACAATTGAGTGACCAAGTTAAGAAATAAGGTTTTAAACATTGTAAATGCACCATTTTAAAAATTATTTATAATAATATTATAATAAGAATTTAGCTGTTATTTAGGAGCTAGTGCATAATAATTTAGGTCAAAGGTGACATATGTAACACTGTTCACTTTCACACCAAAGGATGTTGCTCATGTAACTTTACTCATTGTGCTGAACAGTTGCACAATGCAACTATTAAATGATTATTGCTATTGTTTTGCATTTTTGTTACTATAAGCTACTATCTGTAGTATTGCCACTATCAGTACCTTATGCTATGTATAACACTCAGGGCTTGTTATTTGCCTGCTTACTTGCTTCAGCTTCGGTGGATGCATGATATCTTACCTTGTAACAGATACTCCATCATGTTAATTGTGCCCCCAGTGACAGGCATTACAGTAACAGGTGGCGCCTCCATCTTTCCTCGGGTACTTTGAGGTTTTTGAGCCTAAAGAAAGAAAATTATATGCAGATACATATATATACATGTCGGAACATCTGATGGAGCAATGCCATCATTAACAAAAAAAATTCACCTGTCGCCATAGGTAACATAGTTTGTAACTTTTAGCTCGCTAATAGCCAGTGATAACGCCTTCTAATCTAGGTGTAAATCACTCGAAACAACAATTATAGTGCATTATTGTCTACGAAACCACGAAGAGCAGTAGCCGAGGAAAAAGGGTAAATGTTTTAAGTGTTCGTTCTCGATAACGTTTTAATAAAAGACCAAAGGCCTAAACGGGGTTCTGAATACACGGCTACTACTACACGGCTACTACTACACAGCTACTCTGTTTCCTAGTAGCTAACCGGAACGTTACTTAAGCTAACAGGCTAAACGTTTCAATGTTATTACAGAAACATTAAAAATATATTACCTTTCAAAAATAAAGAAGCGAACGCGGAAAGAAATAAACGTCTTTTTAGTTATCAAAGAAAAAGTGAACACAGTTAGCAACAACAATGAATGAGAAGCGTCTTCCTTTGGTGTGTCAAATCGGTAGACATCCAACTTTGAGGCTCATTACAGCCACCTACTGGTAGTGTTAAAATATCGACAGCAGGTCATCCGTGTATAAAATAGAAAGAAATGGACATGGACGTCATGGACAGACAGGCTTTTTAGGCTATAGGTACTCTGCTTTTATTAACACCGGCTATACGAATGGATTATTAGTACTGTGAAAACTATTACTGTTTTCACAGTACTGTGAAAAGTATATATTACTGAGTATTAAGTTTAGAGGCTTTATTGGCATACATACTGTGGAAATAAAAGCAGTAGTTTACACTTAATTTTGCCAATCTCTTGACATAAAAAAAAATAATTATTCAAATAAAATAAAAATAAAGAATCCGGAAATTTTACAGAGATTGCAAGAATTGAAGATGCAAACACTAAAATTAGTTTTAAAAACAAACCTGAGTTTGAAAACCTGAGTTGTACCTGCTTTGTCCATATTTGCAAACCGGTCTTTACAAATTTGTGCCATAGCAGGTAATAATAATTACAGTAATAGTCAATAATATTGGTGGGGTTGAAGAGAGGCATAACTGACTGTCTTATTCACGAGTCTGATTTGAGACTTACAGTCTTTGATTTCAGACTCCTGTTGCATCTACCTTTAGAATCTACCACCTACCTGTTAACTGGTGGTGTTGTGAGTGTGTGTTGTATTTGATGTTGATGTGGGCAATGCTGACAGCCCTGTTGGTGTAAATGTCATATACTAATGAAAAGATGATCCTGTGATTTATTGTGCAGTCTCGCACAATAGAGTGTTCCTGTCTTGAGTAGTGAAGCTGGGCCCTGTTAGTCATCTTAGAAAGTAAAGTCAATGTGCTGATTGTGAGACCAGGTGAAATCCAACCTCATGTGTGTCCTCTACCTCTGTCTTGGAGTGTTTTTTCCTCAGATCGCCTTGCTCTTATCTACATTTAGGGCAAGATTATTTTCCTGACACCAGGCCACTAGTCATTTCACTTCTCTTCTCTATGCCAGCCCTGCCAGTAATCAGCCCAATTACTTTAGATTCATATGCAAATTTTATAATTCTGGTATTGATTAGGGGGGTGCTCACTCTCATATGTGAAGCGAGCATGTGGCAGTGTACTCAGCACGTGCCCCTGAGTAATACCAGTGCTCACAGTTCTGATGTTTGATATCTGGTGTCCAACTCTGACTGAGTGCGGTCTATCTTACAGGAAGTTCAGAGCTCAGTTACAGAGAAAGGGTGTGAGTCTGATTAAGAGCAGCTTCTCAGAGAGTCTGCAGCATTAAATGCAGCTTCAGTCAACTAACAGCATTTTCACAGATGTGTTACTACCTTCTAGTGGACTGATTCTGTATGTGTGCATAAAGTGAAGAGTCCAAGGTAGCCAGGACAGTCTTTTTGATCCTTTCAAAACACTTCATCACAATTGATGTTAGTCCAAAAGAATGATGGTCATTTAAGCATGTGGCAGTATGTTTCTTGGAGAGGGCCACACTGGTAATGTACTTAAAGGATGGGCAGATTGTATGTCTATGAATACACCATCCAGCTCTGATGAGCAGACCCTGAGTGCATGCCTGAGGATATTATTTGGGCCAGCTGCCTTATTTGGGTTTGTTTTCATTAGAGCTGTGCACACCGCCACCAATGACAGATCGTGATGTAGTGGTTTGTCCTG